TGCTAGCCTTCAGCAAAAGCAGCTCAGTGCCCAGGCCCTGAGTTCAAATCCTACGACTGGCAAAAAAAAAAAAAAGTTGCTTTTATACTTATATTATTATAAGGTAACTCAAGCATAATTACAACCCAAAAGACTGGAAAAAAAAAGTGTATTTTATATTACAAAGATTTTTATGCTATTGGTGTGCAGTTTTTAAAAACGCTTTTAGAAGAGGTAAGGGAGGGCACAAAAATGGACAAAGGTTGGACAAACACAGTAGTGGTACTGACTAGACCCTATGTTGAAAATGAACTATACAACTTGTGAGTGGGGATTAAAGGGAAAAACTAGGAGAGAATGAAGGAAGGAGTGACATTGTCCAAAAAAGAAATGTACTCGTTGCCTGATGGTAACCCCTCTGGTATATCACCTTTATAAAAACAATAAAAATAAAAAAAAAAAACAACTTTTACAGACTATTCTAAAAATCTGAAACAACTGAGTCAAATAACTTACCTTTCACTAAGGTGATACACACCTGTAGTCCCAGCTACTCTGGAGGCTGAGGCAGAAGGATTAACGTGAGTCTAAGAGTTGGAGTCCAGCCTGGGCATAACCAGGACACTTGTCTAAAAAAACAACCAACCAACCCAACAACAAAAAACCCTGTACCACAAAAATCTTATGTCTGAGTTTATCATGTGCTTTGCATCAATTAGAACATACCGGCAGTCTGCACCTGCTATGTATAGAAGAATGTTGATGGATTATCTTAAGTAAAATGCAAGAACTTCAAAGGTGACTGGTGATATTTCTTAACTATTATAATCTATTTTTACCTCGCTCTAAAGCAGCTGTCCTCACTCTTATTCTTCCTGTGATGAAGGCTTTTCCAAATACATGGTAATGGCTGACAGTAACTTAGTACCAACCCTAAGGTTGGTGCTTCTGACTGACAACACTGCAAAGTAAAACATTACAAATCTTTATTAGAAAACATTCCCGTTGTTCAATGTTTACAGGGAAGGATTTATGGAAATGAATTATAGTAGAAAAAAACCAATGTGACATACAGAATGACCAATGAAGTGTGACATAAAAAAATTTTCACCTGGGGATGGTGTTTTCTCTATTAAAAAATATTTAGTGTGAGCAGGAACTGGTGATTCATACCTATAATCCTAGCCACTCAGGATTTGAGGACTCTAGTTTGAAGCCAGTCCAGGCAGGAAAAGTCCATGAGACTCTTATCTCCTGTTAACCAGCAAAAAACTAGAAATGAAGCTGTGGCTCAAGTGGTAGAGATCCAGCTTTGAGTTCAAGCCCTGATACACAGAAACACAAAAACAAAAGCAATTAGAGAAGGTTCTTTGCTTGGTATCTAGAAACATTTAAGAATCTGTGAGAACTGAAGACAGTCCTAAAGATGTTTGGATCCAAGAACTAACCACGCTGCCTGCGGTAAAACTAGCTGTGTCCAGTATTCCCATGTGCTTAGCTCTTGGGCACATGTTTTCAGTCAATACTGTTCAGGAGCGAGGGCGCAAGCCCACCAGTAATGAACTTGCAGAGAATGGTGGCGATGCACTCTAGACAAAACATGGGACTCTCATCCTGCTGGGAGGTGACTGCACTTCTGAGTTTATAGTGAGTGAGAAGGTGAGGTTGCTTGGAACAGGAAGATTTTATAAAAGTTCCTGAATTTTTTCATCTCAATGCAACGAAGATTAAATGTAATGAATACTAAAACAGACTAGCATTTTATCAAAACTTTTTAAAATAATATTTTATTTGATGTTATCATGGGATCCCCGTCCCCTTTTCAAAGGAAAATACATTAGAGAATAGATCAACTGGAAAAGAATTTCAAAGGTCTATTCACATGTACACTTCCCAGAATGCACCTCTTGCACAAAGCAAGCATGTAGATTACTTTACTCAGAGAGGGAAGTTTTGCAATTTAATGACCATGCTGAAATCACCAATAATCTGCTAATGTAACAGAGTTTTTATTTGGTCTTTGAAATGACAGGCACCCTTAGAAGTTGTCTCTTAGACTTTTAACATTCTTTAGACTTTTAGTAGGCTTTAGCTTCAAGAATAAAGCACCCAAGTCTATTTTCATAGTACTAATATTAGCTACTGATGCTGAGTTTATAATGTGTACAATTTCATGTAGATGTTCTAGAATTAGTAATCTTGATGACCATACAATTTTATAAAATGGATAATTAAAACAGTCTTTAAAAAAACCATTAAAATACAAAGACTATTCTCTTAGATAACTAGATTAAATTTAACTTAAATTTGGACTACAAAGCTTAAGAAAATCTCTGGCTTAATGCTGTAGTAGCACATGCCTGTAACCATAGCACTTGGGAGACTGAGGCAAGAGGATCATGAATTCAAGTCTAGCCTGCGCAATATAGCTAAGATCCTGTTTTAAAAGAGAGAGAAAGAGTCAGAGAGACAGAAACAGAACTTCTGGTTTAAAAATTAAGACAACGTTCAAACCTTATTTATTCTATTATAAACAAGTTTGAGCAATTTAGAAATACTGAAAGTTACAAATATTTAAGGGGTACCAGAATTGTAAAGAGCAATTTTACTGTTCTTCCTTATTGGCTGAGTGTTCGTGTTTAAAAATTACTTGTATAGAAATCTTTTCTTCAGTTCTGTGATACACTGCAGCACAGAACTGGAATGGTGGTGTAAGGAAAATACTCAACTTATTCATAGTTTGATAACTACTAAGTGAAAAAGATATGGGAATAAAGTATGATACAAAATCCTAGGTAGGGTCACACCCTCACCCTATTATGGGAGGAGAACACAGCTTGTCAATTCTTACAGGGCAATGCAAATGAGGAGGCCTGGATGAAAGAAGAGATACTGTTTTTAATCTTTTTTCTCTTTTTTTGTCAGGTGATCATGGAGCTTGAACTAAGGGGCCTAGGCACTGTCCCTAAGCTTTTTCACTGAAGGATAGCGCTCTACCACTTTGAGCCACAGACGTTCTTCAGGTTTTCTGGTGGTTAACTGGAGATAATAGTCTCATGGACTTTCCTGGTGGGGCTGGCTTCAAACCACGATCTTCAGATCTCAGCCTCCTGAGTAGGATTACAGCTGTGAGCCACCAGTACCTGGCTCTTTTTAAGTGACCAGTTCTTAGATGCCTGCCCTGAGCCTGACTCCAAACCTTGCTGGAACTATGCAATCTCTGAAACCAAGTACAATTCAAAAGCTGCATAGAAAAATAAAACAGAGGAAGGGGAAGAGGGAGAGAAATGGAATACAGGCAGGCAGGGAGACAAGAAAGCAAGCAGGTAAAGCCTTAGTAACTCAATAAACAAGTAAACAAAACAGTGTCCTTTAACTAAAAGGCAATAGCGCAAAGCTTTCTTTGGCTCTTTTAAAACTCTGCATACTGATTTAAAAAAAAAAAAAAACAAAAGCAAACACCACAGTTCTTAGGAGGGAGGCTTGGCCTGCTAAGAAGGCTTATTACCATAGCACACAGGAAGCCTGCCTAGATCCTGAGATAAATTGTCTGGCAGAAGCCAAGAAAACAGACATCTTGCTTTTCTATTTCAAACTGTTTTTTGTTTGTTTGTTTTTTTAATTAATAGTGGACTATCTCATCCTACACAGAAATGTTTGTGTGAAGGGTGCCAAATCTGAGCTTCTCAGGACAGGGTTAATGGACCCTTTTCCTCCTTGTCTAGCTGCAAATGCCTCGGTGCTTCTGCTGTCTCCTGATGCAGTGCTGCCCTGAGACAGGGCACCAATACAGATGCTGGTTGTCTATCCACATGGCACACATGCGCCATCCTCCTGACCCTCCTGCCACAGTGCACTGCTCAAGCATTCACTGCAGGTAATACTCGGGTGAAAAGGACCACTTTGTGATCGTGATTCTTACACAATATGAGTAAAAAAGTGCAAGAAGGAAAGAAGTACCTACTAAACTCCAATTCCTAAGCAGCTTTCACGGCGGGCCGGACATTGTGCAGTGGGGGGGGGGGGGCTGAAATACTGTTCACGCAATTCTGCTCTGCACAGATGAACTTCTTATTCTTCACATATTGTGAAATACTGAGTAGGTTACCAACATGCCAGGCTTTCCCTTCCAGTATGCCTCAGTCTCAGTGGCCATTTTTCAAGTTGCTCACACTGAACACTCCATCAGGTTATCTTTCATTTGAGCTGTTCAACAGCACACATCCTTTTTCCTTTGACAGTAAATAACTGTACCATTTTTTGTGTGTGTGTGTCCAGGCAATGGGGCTTGAACACAGGGCCTGAGCACCATCCCTGATCAGCTTCTGCTCAAGGTTAAGTAATTTACCACTTGAGCCACAGCTTCATTTCAACTTGTTGGTGGTTAATTAGAGCTACTTTTATTCAATTTTCTTGCCTAGGCTAGCTTCAAATCGTGATCCTCAGATCTCAGCCTCTTGAGTAGCTAGAATTACAGGCATGAGCTACCGGCACCTGGCTCAGAATGACTTCTTTTAAGGGAGAATACAGTTTTTCTACCTTTTACCATTAGCTTCTACAAAATTCACTAATACCCACATCAGAAAGAAAAACTGATAAACTTAAGACAATTACATTTAACTGTCAGAGTGGATGACTATAAAAGCCTAGAGCTCTGTGCTGCGCAGATGGTAGGCCATCTCCTGTGATGCACTGAAAGCCATCTCTACTTGGACATCCACTTTGGCTCCTGATCACACCAGCAGGTTTTAAACCATCTGTTTTTAAATCCTGGCATTTTGTTCCCTTGATTAGGGAAAAAAACCACCCACCTTTCTCAAGTTCATGTATTCTTAAAAAAAAAAATAGAAAAGACTACAAACTATGGAATGATGAAAGCCTCAGTGCCTTATACCTATAAAGAACAATAGTGATTTTGAATCAGAAACGTCCATTTTTTGATTAGAAAAAGATTTGGTCCTCAAAATGGTCAAATTAGGCTTACATAAATGGTTCTAAAAATTTTTTTACAATTACCTTTCCCCCCCAAGACTCATAATAAACCATTCAACAGGACTACATTAAAAACTGGTATTAGTAGAAAGTGGAAATGCTTCAAATATAAAATATAAAATATCACCTACTACCAATTTTACAATTGGAAACTGATAACAACTTACACAAGGAAAATAATGAATATAGCTAAACAAAGTGTTTCCAGTCTTTTTCCCTTATACCCAGGACACTTTCATATCAGATGTCACCAACACTTGGTGATCTTCTGTAGGCTTCCCAACGTTAGATGTTGCTGGACTCACTGTGGGTCTCCTTCAACTCTCCTCTTACGTACTGTGAAGACATAAAAGTAAGCACGTTAGAAATCCCTATTTGTTTTTACTATGGTAACGCACACGTTTCTGTATCATCCAGTTCAAGTTTTACAAAATGAAATGCGTTTTTTTATTATTTTTATTTTATTTTTTTTTTTTTTTGGGTCCGGTGATGGGGCCTGAACTCTGGGCCTGGGTGCTGTCCCTCAGCTCTTCAGCTCAAGGCTAGCGCTCTACCACTTGAGCCACAGCGCCACTTCCAGCTTTTTTCTTTTTTGCTTATGTGGTGCTGAGGAATCGAACCCAGGGCCTTATGCATGCAAGGCAAGCGCTCTACCACTGAGCCACCTTCCCAGCCCCTTTATTTTATTTTGTTGTCAGTTGTGGGCCTGAACTCTGGGCCTGGGCACTGTCCCTCAGCTCTTCAGCTCAAGGTGAGCGCTCTACTACTTGAGCCACAGCGCCACTTCTGGTTTTGTAGCTGCATTGGGCTTTCTCACACCCAAAAGATGACAGGCCAGCCAGGCACCGTAATCCTGTAGGCCTGTAGGCCTAGCAACTCAGGAAGCTGAGATCTCGTCAACTCAAGGCTAGTGCTCTACCACTTGAGCCACAGCGCCACTTCTGGCTTTTTCTGTTTGTGTGGTATTAAGGAATTGAATCCAGGGCCTCATTCAGGTGAGGCAAGCACTCTTCCACTGAGCCACCTTCCCAGCCTCAAACCTGTGACAGTCTTATCTCCACTTAACCACCAAAAAACCAGAAGTGGCAATGTGGCTCAAAAGTGGTACAGCATAGCCTTGAGTGAAAAAAAAAAAACTTAAGAACAGTGTGCAGGCCCTGAGTTGAAGACAGGGGGTGGTGATTAAAAATCAAAGGAGCCTAGCCTCCAAATAAAAAGCATGTGTGTACAACAACACAGGAATATCTGAAAGAAAAATTTCAGACAAGTCTTTAGAGCCAGGTTCAACGCTTTAGGCAGGCCATTCAAGTGTTAAAATGCCTGTTATAAAAATATGTTCTACCAAGTGGGCGTGGCTCAGGCCTGTAATCCTAGCTACTCCAGGAGGCTGAGAGCTGAGAATTGATGTTCAAAGCCAGCCTGGGCAGGAAAGTCTGTGAGACTCTTATCTCCAATAAATCACCAGAAAACCAGAAGTGGCGCTGTGGCAAGTGGTAGGGTGCTCTCCTTGAGGTGAAGAGCTGAGGGACAGCACCCAGGTCCAGAGTTCAAGGCACCATGACTGACAAAAAAAAAAAAATGTTATAAGGAAGATTTATAGGACACAAACAAAAAAGGCGTACAAACTGATTCTGTAGTTACTGCAAAAATAATAACTAGTACAGGCCCAAAGTTCAGTTGAATACTGCATGTATACCACATAACCTCTCTTCTGTACTTGTTAGGTAGAGAGATGATGAGGAAATGAAACCAAAAAAACAATGAGAGAGGGAAAGTATTTAGGATAATCAGAAAACCAAAGATTGGCTTTAGACCCATTTGTAAGCTGAAGAAAAACCTGATGCTCAAGAGATTCTGTTAAAGCTTCAGGTCTTGTTCCTTGCTAGATCTTTTTTTTTTTTTTTGGTTGGGTCATGGGGCTTGAACTCTGGGCTTGGGCACTGTCCCTATACTCTTCAGCTCAAGGCGAGCGCTCTACTGCTTGAGCCACAGCGCCACTTCTGGTTTTCTAGTGGTTTATTGGAAATAAGAGTCTCATGGACTTTCTTGCCCGGGCTGGCTTTGAACCGAGATCCTTAGATCTCAGCCTCCTGAGTAGCTAGGATTACAGGTGTGAGCCACCGACACCTGGCCTTGCTAGCTCTTTTGAGTTACAAAATAACAGGCTGCTGAGAGACAGGACATTCAGGTTTTCTGTTTTATCTACGGGCAGAGATCACAGGATAGTGTGAAAATTCATCAGGCTGAGAGCGGAGGACAGGGAGCTTGCTGCACAGGAAGAGGGTAATGGGCAGAGCCATTTCTGACTCTGTCTCACCTTGGGCCCTTGTGACCTCCCAGTGAGGTACATAACAGCTCATCCGCTATGTGATAGGCCTGTAAGATTTGACTTTTTTGTTTGTCAGTTGTGGGGCTTGAACTCTGGGCCTGGGTGCTGTCCCTGTGCTCTTTAGCGCAAGGCAAGCACTCTACCACTTGAGCCACAGAGCCACTTCCGTTTTTCAGGTGGTTAATTGGAGATAAGAGTCTCACAGTCTTCTCTGCCTGGGCTGGCTTTGAACCGTGATCCTCAGATCTCAGCTTCCTGAGTAGCTAGGATTACAGGCTGAGTCATAGGGCCAGGCAAGCTCTGACATTTTAAAGTCAACTGTAAGTCCTAACTAAACTCTTTGTAGACTGGTTGTAGCCAGGTTGAAGCAATGATTAGGTCTCATGATAAGCTAATTTCCTGTGACCAAAAAAAAAAAAAAAAAACCAAAAGTTTCTTAATCCTGAGGCAATAATAGTTCTCACATGTCCCCTACATAATGACCAAAGACATATAAGTTCTTTATCATGTACTTCTAGGGTCTTCTGCCAACTCAACCTCTTAATCTGCTGATGTAATGTTTCCATTCTGCATTTATTCTAGCCATGAGTATTTATGAAGCTAGTCTCTGACCCAGCCTAATGCTGTGAGTGCCAGCTCTCAGCATCCTTGGCTTCATCAGCTGCCTTTCACATCTCAGCCTCTTTCCATGGCACTCCCAACTCCTTAATTTGTTTGTGGTGCTATCTGATCACTGAGCTACATCGCCAGCCCACTTCATGTATTTTTATTACGTACCTATTTGTTAAGCATGATTTAAAAGGTATAGATTCAATAGCTGGACAAGATCCTTTGCCTCAAAAAGGTTACAAGGTTGGAAGTACAGGCTGTGGCTCAAATGGCAGAGCGCTAGCTTTGAGCACAAAAGCTCAGGGAGAGCACCCAGGCCCAGAGTTTGAGCCCAGGACCAGCACCACCCCCCACAAAAAAATTAAGTCAATGACTAATTTACAAAATAAAATAGAACTTAAAGTGGGTAGGCTGAGTGATAAAGATGATGGCACTGTAATCTTATGGATCTCTCTATTCATAGCCAGTTAAACCAATGAGGACACAGAGGCTCAAATGGGAAGAAAAACCAAAAGTGCAGACACAGTGACCTGGCTTATTTTTTCTGCTCCAGCAACTTTAAAACACACCCATACTGTTCAAACCTGAGCTCAATCAACCTGAGCAGAGGGGCAAGGTCTGCTGCATTAGGAATAAATACTGGAGCAGATGACCTGCTCTGTGTGCGTGCCAGATTTTCTGCTGATGGCACATCCTTCTGCACAGAAGCAAATTTGTCTTGCTGAGACAATTCTTTAGTTTCATGTCTGTCGCTGTGGACTCCAAAGCTTGAAGAGCATATTTATAACAAGAGTAAGAAAGGGACAGAAAATGTCACAGAAAGCTATGAAATTCCTTTTTTTTTTTTTTGTCACAGGAAGTTAGCTTATCATGAGATCTGATAATTGCTTCAACCTGGCTGAACTGTAGTTCAATCAGTAAAAAAGGGAATGCAGATTCTGGAAACAAAGGAGTAATTTCTCGAAATTAAAACTTGCTTTTTTTAAAAGTAAGAGACACTTCTCCAGTATACAATTTAGCAAACGATAAGTTGAAAAACTCAATGTGACCCTGCAGATGTCTTACCTAAGTCATTGTTTTTTGTTATAGCGTTAGCCGCCCTGGTTCGAGGTCCCTGCTGTGTAAACTGATACCCAAATTTAAGGATATTTGTATTTTCCTCCAGCATCTTGGCCATCTCTAACTCTACAGCTGTTCCCAACTGCTGCCTCTGCAAGAGTAAGAAATAACAAATAGTATTTACAAACTAGAAGTAAACTGCTTTTAGGTCAATCAAGGGTAAGATATTCAGGCATGTGCTGATTTCATTGTACTCTAAATTTTCTCAATTTCTAAAACATACATAAAAAACATGCTTTTAGGCTGAAGGCATGGCTCAAGAAGAGTACTTTTTTTTTTGGGTCTGGTCTTGGAGCATGAACTCTGGGCCTAGGTGCTGTCCCTCAGCTCAAGGCTAGCACTCTACTACTTAAGCCACAGTGCCACTTCCGGCTTTTTTTTTTCTTTTTGCTTATGTGGTGCTGGGGAATCGAACCCGGGGCCTCTTTCATGCAAGGCAAGTGCTCTACCACTGAGCCACCTTCCTAGCCCCAAGAAGAAGAGTACTTGCTTGGCAAGTGTGGGGTTCAATCTCAAGTACCACAAAACAACAAACTTGCAGAGTTAAAGAGTTGCTCTAGGGCTGGGAAGGTGGCTCAGTGGTAGAGCGCTTGCCTTGCATGCCTGAGGCCCTGAATTCGATTCCTTAGCACCACATAAGCAAAAAGAAAAAAGCTGGAAGTGGCACTGTGGCTCAAGTAGTAGAGCGCTAGCCTTGAGCTGAAGGACAGTGTCCAGGCTCAGAGATCAGGCCCCACAACCAAACCCCCTCCCCCCTCCAAAAAAAGAGTTGCCCTGACAACCGTTCCCACAGCCATCCTGGGGCTTGAGCCCTAGACTGGGGATGGGGGCAGAGGGGGAAGCTACTGCTTCCTCTACATTGTTGTAGAATACTGACCTGATTGTCGATCTTAAGCTCTGCCAGAGTCTCATTTTCCTTTAAAGCATCAATCAGTGCTAGAACTCCGGCTGCAGTAATGAAGTTGGACTCCATATTTAAGCTCTTCAAAGTTTTGTTCACTTTCAACATATCTGCAAAAGCCTAGAAATTAAAGAAAATACTTGGAGATTAAAATTTCATCACTATGCCAGGTGCTGGTGGCTTATGCCTGTAATCCTAACTACTCAGGAGGCTGAGATCTGATGATCACAGTTCAAAGCCAGCCCGGGCAGGAAAGTCCATGAGACTCTTATCTCCAATAAACCACCAGAAAACGGGAAGTAGTGCTGTGGCTCAAGTGGTAGAGAGCTAGCCTTGAGCTGAAGAGCTGAGGGACAGCGCCCAAACCCAAGCCCTACCACTGACAACAACAACAACAACAACAACAAAATTGATCAGTAGTGGCTCATGCTTGTAATTCTAGCTACTCAAGAGTCTGAGTTCCAAAGGATCTCAGTTCCACTGAAGATAGCCAAGGCAGAAAAGTGTTTTAGAGTCCATCTCCAATTAATCAGAAAAATGCTAAACTGGAGGTTCAAGTGATCCAGCACCACCTGGGCAAAGCAAGCAAGCATGAGGTCCTAAAATAACTGTTAACACAAATTTTATACTGCATATGCATAAACAAAAATGTTTATTACCATACATTCCTTTTTTTCTTTTTATGCAAGTATTAGGGCTTCAACTCAGGGTTTTGTTCTCTCACTAGGCTTTTTGTTCATAGCTGGTGTTCTATCACTTGGACTATGGCTCTACTTATTTGACTTATTTTCTGGCTGGTTGTGGAGCTTGAACTCAAGGCCTGGACATTGTCCCTGAGCTCTTTTGCTCAAGGCTAACACTCTACCACTTTGAGCCACAAAGCTAATTTCCAGTTTTCTGGTAGTTAACTGGAGATAAAGAGTCTCATGGACTTTCCAGCCCTGGTTGGCTTTGAACCTCAATCCTCTAATCTCCTAAGTAGTTAGGATTACAGGTATGAGCGAACAGCACAGCTCTACTTCTGGCTTTTTTACTGGTTAATTGGCAGTAAGAGTCTCACAGACTTTTCTGCCTGGGCTGGCTTCTGAGGTCTTCAGATCTCAGCCTCTTGAGTAACCAGGATTACAGGTTAGTCACCAGTGCCTGACAAAAAAATCATTCTTGACACTATGTAAATAACTGCCATAATAATGGGTAAGATGACAGAAGCTGCTTGGATCAGGGCAGTAGTAATGAAAATGATGAGAAATAGTTGGACTGTAGAACTATTTTGAAGACAGGAAATAAATATACGCTTATTGATATGAGAAAGAGAAGTCAAGGATGATTCATGATTTCTTTGACTATTGGGTTTTTTTTTAACTGTATTTTTTTTGTCTTTTCTTTTTTGGTACTGGGGATCGAACCCAGGATGTTGCACTTGCTAGGCAAGCGCTTTGCCACTAAGCTACATCCCAGCCCTCTTTGACTATTGGCTGGAGAAAGTGAAAGATGCAAAAGTTGCCATTTAATAAGAGAAGAATCAAGAGAAGGCATGGATAGGAGTCAGGACTTTGGTCCAGTTCTCTGATGAAAGGCTGTGTATTAGATATCTATGTATAGCTGTCAAGTAGATAGCTTGGCATGGGTATAGAAAGAGGTATAAACCAGAAATAAATAAAAATATTGATTCTCATCAGCATATATGGATAATACATAGCAATAATACAGAATGATATCACCCAGGAAAAGAAAAAAAACAAGCCTTGGAGCAATCAAATGTTTAGGAGATGAGCAAGTACCTGTATGAGGACCTTAGAATGTCCATTGAAGTTGGAGAAGAACCAAAGGGAGTGTTATCTAAAAAGCCAGGGTGGAATTTATTCAAGGAATGCAATGTTGGCTTAATATACAAAAATCTATCACTGAGCCGGCACCAGTGGCTCACATCTGTAATCCTAGCTACTCAGGAGGCTAATATCTGAGGATCATGGTTCAAAGCCAGCCCAGGCAGTAAAGTCCAGGAGACTCCTATCTCTAATTAACCACCAGAAAACCACAAGTGGTGCTGTCGCTCAAATGGTAGACCACTCACCTTGAGCTGAAGAGCTCAGGGACAGTGCCCAGGCCCCATCACCTGAGGTGGGGGGGGGAGAGAGAACCTAGTATAGGATATATTGTCTAATAGTGAGCTAAAACACCAGCTGAAAGGAGGAAGTAAATCCTGGTTATAAAATCACAACTTTTCCCCTCTGTAACTGATGTTACCAGCAGTGGCATACTTACCACAGCAATGGGGTCATTGCTCCGGGTGGCTGCAAGACTGAATTGCTTCACATGTGTGTTGTTTTCCAAAGACTTTGCAAAATCTTTCAGGGTAGGAATTGGAATGTTCTTGAAAGATAAAAATGTGAAACATCATATTTTCAGCAAATCAGCCCACTAATCAAATATATTTACTGCTTTTTTTTTGTTTTTGCTTTGTATTTTTTTTTGGGGGGGGGGGGGGGGGTCCAGTCATGGGGCCTGAACTCTGGGCCTGGGCGCTGTCCCTCAGCTCTTCACCTCAAGGCTAGCACTCTACCACTTGAGCCACAGCACCACTTCTGGCTTTTTTCTTTCTGCTTATGTGGTGCTGAGGAATCGAACCCAGGGCCTCAGGCATGCAAGGCAAGCACTCTACCACTGAGCCACCTACCCAGCCCCATGCTTTGTATATTTATACAATTTGCTTTTGGAGACAAGATTTTGCTATGTAGGCCTAGGCTGGCGTTAAACTGGAGATCCTCCTGACTCAGACAAGGACTGAATTATAGACATATACCACCATGCCCAGCTTACTCTTTTTAAGTTTTTAAAACATACTCAACAGCAAGGTAAGCCAAGAGCAAAGAGACAAGCGGCACATGGTCTCCCTGATGAGTAGATGTTAAATCCAAAATGTTAGGTGATATGACAAAATTAACAAGTCTTAAGAAACAAAGGACTTCCACTCATCTGGTCGAATCACTACTAAATAACCCCACGCTGCTGATCACATATATGGTATATATGTGCACACAAGAGGGAAACCAGTAGGATGACACAGAACTAGAGGGAATCAGGGAAAAAACATACAACAACGGGACCCATCAGCTGCATTGGACATTGACCAAAATGAACTAAGCAACAAAATGGCAGCAATGGGAGGGAGGGAACAAGTGGGAAAGAGGGAACAGCTGGTGTTATGCAAAACACAAGAAATGTACATATCACCCAATGTGGAGAAATAACTGTATTGCAAAGCTTATAGAACTCATAAATGTTATAGATCACAATAGACAATTTGCCCCATGGAAGTTAGAATGTGTTTGTGACTTTAACTAAGCATCACTATCCCACAATACTGTGAAATTTGTGAAATTATGTAATCACTTAATCACAATAAAGAATTTGAAGAAAAAAAAAGAAACCATAAAAAAATTTAAAAAACGTACTCAACAATTAATAAACATGTGATAGTGTACAAATGTGAATGTCATAGTATTCTCTGTATCATTTTACTTATTTACTTTGGTGCATTTGCATTAGCTATTGCTCATACTACTATTTCTCTGGCACTTAACATAAAGTACTCTCATTTTACTTTCCATTATTCTCAGGACATGTAGTCAATCCCTGGCTACTCAAGGAGAACCCACTTTTCTTTTCTTTCTCTTTTTTTGGCAGTCATAGAGCTTGAACTCTGGGCTTGGGCGCTGTCCCTGCACTTTTCAGCTCAAGGAGAGTGCTCTGTCGCTGAGCCACAGTGCCACTTCCGGTTTTCAAGTGGTTTATTGGAGATAAGAGTCTCACGGGCTTTCCTGCTCGGGCTGGCGGGCTGGCTGTGAACTGTGATCCTCAGATCTAAGCCTCCTGGGTAGCTAGGATTACAGGTGTTGAGTCACTGGTGCCCAGAGAGAATCCACTCTTCTAACGAGTGTGATCACTGAAGCAGATGACACACTACTCTCCTCCACTTAGTGACCTTTTATCGAGAGATTAACTATACTTCCTGCAGGAGGACAACACTGGGCAGGGTACTGATTTTAAGACATCGAGTTCTTATAGCCTGATAGTTTTTAGATTATTAATTTTTACTTAGAGATAAATACACAGGGACTGAATTTTCTTTTCTTTTTTACAAGTCTTCTCCAAGGCTTTCCTCATAGAAGACACACTGAAAGTACAGAGTACTTATGCCCTAGGTTTGTGTAATTTCCAGATGCTTCCCTTTCCAAAACCTCAATTCAGAGAAATCAATTACAAAGAGGAATTTGTAAGGTCCCTGCTATGCAATGGACAGGAGCCAAGACATAACCTGAGTTTAAGCTTTGCTGATCATTATTCTTTTTTTTTTTTTTGGTCAGTAGTGGGGCTTGAACTCAAGATCTAGGTGCTGACCTGAGCTTTTTCACTCTAGGCTCGTGATCTACCACTTTGAGCCACAGAGCCACTTCCGGTTTTTCTGGTAGTTAATTGGAGATAAGAGTCTTATGGACTTTCCTGCCCAGGGCTGGCTTTGAACGGAGATACTCAGATCTTAGCCTCCTGAATAGCAACCATTACACACATGAGCCACTGACACCCAGCTAATCATTACCTACCCTTATGCCTTATTTTCTCTTTACTTACTCTAAAGGAAAGTTATATTGTTTAAAACCCAACAAGAAAGCCAGGCACTGGTGGCTCATGCTTGTAAACATAGCTACTCAGGAGTCAGATATCTGAGGATAGTGGTTCCAGTTCTCTCCCTTTCCCAGCTCTCTTTCCCAGCTCTCTCTTTTTCCCAGCTCTTTCCCAGGCCTATCCCAGCCGTGTGGAGTGCCAACATGGCCTGGTCCCAGCAGGTCTACTGAATAAACCTACCCCTTACCTGAATACCACGTGTGTGGTGCTGTTCTTACTCGGCTACCTCTTTTTAAAAATCTAACAGGCAAGAAGAAGGAACGCTGCGATACCTGCAATAGCACAGATGAGGCTCACAGACATTGTGCCAAATGGAAAGGCTAGCCTGCAAGGCCAGGTACTAAGGCTGTCATCTATACACATTCTGGAGGAGGTGAAATGACGGGAAGGAAATGCTGTCAGCAACAAGGACAGGGTGGAGATGACTACAGAGCGGGTCTGGGGCCTACGGACATCTTCACTGTGGAGGCAGTTGTATAACCGAGTGTGTGAACCTCACATAGGATTGTATACTAAAAGGAGACTTCTCCATGCATATAACCTTAAGAAATTTGATTATAAAAAGAAAAGCTGGCCAGGTACTGGTCGCTCATGCCTGTAATCCTAGCTACTCAGGAGGCTGAGATCTGAGAATTGCAGTTCAAAGCCAGCCCAGGCAGGAATGTCTATGAGACTCTTATCTCCAATAAACCACTAGAAAACCAGAAGTGGCACTGCGGCTCAAGCGATAGAGCACTTGCCTTGAGCTGAAGAGCGCAAGGACAGCACTCAAGCCCAGAGTTCAAACCCCACGATTGACAAAAAATTAATAATAATAAATAAAAAGAAAAGCTGGGCTGGGAATGTGACTTAGTGGTAGAGTGCTTGCCTTACATGCATGAAGCCCTGGGTTGGATTCCTTAGTACCACATAAACAGAAAAAGCCAGAAATGGTGTTGTGGCTCAAGTGGTAGAATGCTAGCCTCTGGCAAAAGCAGCTTGGGACAGTGCCCAAGCCCTGCGTTCAAGCTCCATGACTGGGAAAAAAAAAAAAGCTGGGGGGGGGGGCTGGGAAGGTAGCTCAGTGGTAGAGTGCTTGCCTTGCATGCCTGAGGCCCTGGGTTCGATTCCTCAGCACCAAATAAGCAAAAAGAAAAAAGCCGGAAGTGGCGCTGTGGCTCAAGTGGTAGAGCGCTAGCCTTGAGCTGAAGAGCTGAGGGACAGCACCCAGGCCCAGAGTTCAGGCCCCACGACCGGACCAAAACAAAAAGCTTAGGACAGTGGCCAGGCCATGAGTTCAAGTCCCAGGATCGGTACCAGAAAAAAAAAAGAAAGAAAGAAAAGAGAAACGAAAAGAAAAAGACTTAAAGGTCCTAAAAGTGGGTAATACTTTATAAGCCAGAGAGATTTAAGGGCAGTATGTAGGGCTTGCATTTTTATACAACCAACTTTTTAAAAAGTAAACAGAAAATACCGTTCTATAATACTAAAAATTGAAAGAACCTATAATAGCATATTGTTAGTAGCAAAAACTTTAAAGTGAGAAGACTAAGACCCTTTGCATCAAAACTGTCAAGCTACTGTCCAAAGTTCACCTGACTCAAAAATGAAACAATTCTGTTGATCTTTTATGAATTATATGCTCAATATACTTACCTTTATATTATTCAAATTAACTTCAACAAGACGAGCATCATTTTCTTTAATTCTCTTTAAGCTCTCTTCAACATTGGTTGGATTTGGTGGCTCATCAAACACTGGAACAATTGTTTCCCCTTTTACCACATCTGTAGTAACAAATGAAAAGAGCAAGGATTGACTAACATGGCCTTGAACTTGAACCCTCCTATCTCCAGCTCTTATGTATCTGGGATACAGGCATAAACCACCAAACTGAGCCTAGACATTTTTACTTTTTATTACACATATACTTATGGACTGTGTAACTATGTTATAAAAGCCTATTATTACCTTCATAATTTAAACACTCCCTATAAATAAACTAAAAATAAAGCAAAACAAAAACCTTTGTTTTAGGCCATTTTAATACTTCACACCAGGATGTTTTGGGGGGTTGAATAGTTTTTCCTCCTGAATCTGATTTTATAATATAGTTTCTTTTTCAAAATTACTGTTGATTCCTTAAAAATCAGTAACACTAATAATGTCAGTAAAATTAAGTTTGGCCAGGCACTGGTGGCTAACTGTAATTGCAATTACTTAGGAAGCTAAGATCTGAGGATCTCAGTTTGAAGCCATCCCAGGCAGGAAAGTCTGTGTTATTCTTATCTAAAATTAACCATCAAAAAGTCAGAAGTAAAAGTATGGCTCAAGTGGTCTAACTCCAATCTTTTTGTTGTTGTTGTTGGTCAGTCATGGGGCTTGAACTCTGGGCTTGGGTACTGTTCCTGAGTTCTTCAGCTCAAGACTAGTGCTCTACCACTTGAGCCACAGCGCCACTTCCAGTTTTCTGGTGGTTAACTAGAGGTAAGAGTCTCATGGACTTTCCTTCCTGGGCTGACTTTGAACTGTGATCCTCAGATATCAACCTCCTTAGTAGCCAGGATTGCAGGCGTGAGCTACAGGTGCCCAGCTCAAACTCCAATCTTGAGCAAAATTGCATCTAAACCTGAATTCAAGCTCCAGTACTAAAGAAAAAAAAAAAAAGAAAAGAAAAAGTTTAGCTGGGCTGGGAATGTATCTCAGTGGTAAGAGTATGTGTCTAGTATACTCAAGGCCATGGTTTAGAAGAAAAGGCACCTAGCCCAACATATACACTTGCCTAGATTTTATACTGCTTAATCAGTAATATTTACTGTGGTGAGAATAGCTTTTATTAGATTTGTCAACACATAAAAGAAAACATGCTGACTATTCTATTTTCAATGGCTTTCTCTGTCAATACTATCAAACTGGAATTTCAAGTTGAAGAATATATATTTAACATTTGATTTATAAATACCGAAGATGAAAAATGGAGACACAAATATACATTTCCTAAAGTACTGAAATTCATAAAGCATCTTAAATACTCACTTGAAAAATGTTGGTCGACTCCATTACTACTGCCCACTACATTACAGAACTGTGCGTTTGTTATCAGGTTGTGCATCCCAAGAATAGCTATAAATACAGGAAGAGGGAGTTATTCTTATTTCCATCTGTTTTAAACTATGTCTATTTTTTTCTTTGGTTGGTCGTGGGGCTTGAACTCTGGGCCTGGGTGCTGTCCCTGAGCTCTTCAGCTCAAGGCAAGTGCTCTGCCACTCGTGCCACAGCGCCACTTCTGATTTTCTGGTGGTTTATTGGAGGTAAAGGTCTCATGGACTTTACTGCCCATGTTGGCTTTGAACTATGATCCTCAGATCTCAGCCTCCTGAGTAGCTAGGATTACAGGCATGAGCCACTGGCACCAGTTTGTTTGTTTGTTTGTTTTAAGATAGAGTCCTGCTATGTTACATAGGCATGTCTTGAACTTACGGGCTAATCAATTCTTCTGCCTCAGCCTCCCAAGTAAGTAGCTGGGACTACAAGCATATACCACAGCACTCAGGCTGCTGCCAAAATTTTCTACCAATTTGAACATTCTCTATTCATTTTCCTATTAAACAAACATTTTTTAAAACCACTCTAAAGAGAAGGTGAAAACAGTGATTAAAGATTACCTGTAATTTTATTCTCATTACCACATTTCTGAACTTACAGTTTTCCCACTTTTTAAGTTCATACACACAGCCTGAGTCAACCTAACCCGAATGGTTAGCTCCATCTAGTGGCTATGAGAGAAAATTGACAAGATCTATATTTCTAGGGATTTAAGGCCACACAGAAGACAGGCTTCAACACTGTTTTCTGTTTTGTTTTGTTTTTTGTCTGTCATAGGGCTTGAACTCTGCGCCTAGGCAGAGTTCAAGCTGTCCCTTAGCTCTTCAGATCAAGGAGAGTGCTCTACCGTTTGAACCACAACGCCACTTCCAGTTTTCTGGTGGTTAACTAGAGATAAGAATCTCATGGACTTTCCTGCCTGGGATGGCTTTGAACCGCGATCCTCAGATCTCAGCCTCCTGAGTAGCTAGAATTACAGGCCAGCCACCAGTGCCTGGCATTCAACACTGTTTTGACCTTGGTTAGTCACTAAGTTACAACTGCATTCTAGCTAAAGTTAGAACACTAAAAGTACTGTTAAACTCATAAATTTAAGAATGACATAGCATCCTTCAAAGATAATATTTCAGAGAGAAAATAAATGTGGTTTTTATTTTTTGTAGCCCTTATCATTTTGACATCCTTCTTTTCACAATTCAGGTTCAGGCAGAGCTACAGAGTAATATCCTGGCTCAGTCCACTCTCATGAAGGTACCATTTACAAATCCACCAGCATGCTGAGCGCTGGTGGCTCACGCCTGTAATCCTAGCTACTCAGGAGGCTGAGATATGAGGATCACGGTTCAAAGCCAGCCCAGGCAGGAAAGTCTGTGAGACTCTTATCTCCAGTAAACTACCAGAAAACCAGAAGTGGCGCTGTGGCTCAAGCCGTAGAGCGCTTGCCTTGAGCTGAAGAGCTGAGGGACAGCGCCCAGGCCCAGAGTTCAAGCCCTCAACCAACCGACAAAAAACACAATCAAATCTACCAGCACTTGAGCAATACACCACCTGCTCTAGCAGTGACATTATAGGCTGCCCTTCCCAGATCCTTCCTGAATAACCATGCTACTTTAAACCTTGTTTGCTCTTTTGGCATTTTGGATCACCTAATCTTCCCACGTCACTTTTCTCTAGGAAGGAAAATGGGTGTTTTCCTGGGTAGTTAGGAAATATAGGTCTGAAAGATGCAATAACAGTACTAAGTGTGAAGCATTCATTGTACATGTACTCAGAAGAGCTAGGAAACAGCGAGTGCAGCTCAGGACTGGGTGCACCCCTGCTTCCCAGTGATCCATTTCCAGGTCTTCTGATAACAAGGGGGAGAAGCTAACCCAGTGCTCAGTGCTCAGACAGGACAGATCTAGTGGAACACCAGCTGATGACATTTTTTCTTTCTTTTTTAAGAAAAACTTTCGCCGGGCGCTGGTGGCTCATGCCTGTAATCCTAGCTACTCAGGAGGCTGAGATCTGAGGATCGCGGTTCAAAGCCAGCCCGGGCAGGAGAGACCGTGAGACTCCTATCTCCAATAAACCACCAGAAAACCGGAAATGGCGCTGTAGCTCAAGTGGTAGAGCGCTCGCCTTGAGCTGAAGAGCTGAGGGACAGCGCCCAGGCCCAGAGTTCAAGCCCCAGGACCGACCAAAAAAAAAAAAGAAAAACTTTCAAGGGCTGGGAAGGTGGCTCAGTGGTAGAGCGCTTGCCTTGCATGCATGAGGCCCTGGGTTCGATTCCTCAGCACCACATAAGCAAAAAGAAAAAAGCCGGAAGTGGCACTGTGGCTCAAGTGGTAGAGCGCTAGCCTTGAGCTGAAGAGCTGAGGGACAGCGCCCAGGCCCAGAGTTCAGGCCCCAGACCGGACCCAAAAAAAAAAAAAAGAAGAAAAAAAAGAAAAAGAAAAACTTTCAAATATGGCAAAATGGGATGTCAATCATCTTAGTGTAAAAATTTCACTAAGGAGAATACTTGAAGAAACACTTTTGTCAGATTTAGAGTGACAAATACAAGCCATGCTATGTAGTTACTGATTTACAGCTGTATAATGTGCACAGGTGGCATGCTCCTTCTCATCACACCCATGCACAAATTAATGTTTGTACGAGATACCTGCGAGGTCAGATAATTCTGTATCAGTAGCACTTGTCAAAGCTTCTTCTAATTCTGGATCAAGAGATACATTTTCTTCTGTCAAAGTCTGTACAGGCTTCTGTTTGGGGATAAATATTTTCCCTGTAAAATAAAACACATTGTTAATTCACTACTATTCGGACTAACTCATTACGTATTCGGACTAACTCATTACGATTTGACTCTTTTGACAAACACTTACTAAAAGGAATTGCAACTGAAACTGAAGGAAAGGTCAAGATTAGCATCCACAGAAATTCTGTTTCCACAGCAATGCTTTGGCTGTACAAATAAGACAGGAAAGAGAGCCAAGAAATGTTCCCAGAGGTGCACCTTTGGGGGCTGAGGTTGTAACCAAGGAGTACAGAACCTTCCTGACAAGTATGAACCCTTGAGTTTAAACACCACTACTGCATAATTAGTCAATTAGTAATTCAATTATACTAGCTACATTTCAAGAACTCATAGACATGTGGTTCGATATCTGTGTTAATCAGTATGGCAGGTAGTAGGCAGATGTAGCAGGCAGATCTGTTCATTCTCCTAGTTGTTGTGAAAACCATAGTTTAGATATAGGAATATCCTTCCCAAAGGACTCATGGGTAAAAGGCTTGTGCCCCAGCTGGCAAATCTGATCATAAGTCAATCAGAAACCTTTCTGGTTGGATATTTTCTTATTCACAAAATGCACTTGGCCAATCCAGCTGTTGTACAGTAAAGCAGTTTCAATGACCTATTACACAGTGTGTCCCAAGCGCTAAGGGCACCCAGCCATAACTCACAATTCTATTGTATGTGCATATATTAACACATCATGTTGTACACCATAAAAACAGTCTGGCCAGGCACCAGTGACTTACATACTAGCGACTCAAGAGGCTGAGATCTGAGGATCGCAGTTCAAAGCCAGCCTGGCAAGAAAGTCCCTGTGAAAGTCTTATCTCCAACAAACTACTCCAAAAAAAGCCAGAAGTGGTGCTATGGCTCAAGTGGTAGAGCACTAGCCTTGAGCACAAAGAGGCTCAGGGACAGCACAGGCCCTGAGTTCAAACCCAACCACCACCAACAACAACAAAAAAAAAAAACAGGTCTGGTAATGTGGCTTAGTGGTAGAGTGCTTACCTAGCATGCATGAAGCCCTGGGTTCAATTCCTTAGTACCACATACACAGAAAAAGTCAGAAGTGGCTCTGTGGCTCAAGTGGTAAAGAGCTAGCCTTGAGCAAAAGGAAGCTCAGGGACAGCCCTCAGGCCCTGAGTTCAAGCCCCAGGACTGGCAATAAAAAAACAAACAAACAAAAAATCCATAGTCTGAACTTGTCAATTTAAAAAAAGCCATCAGAAGCAAAACCATACAAATTATCAAGTAGCTGCCCATATCTTACTAGAAGGATGGAAAGAATCTAAAGCATTATAAAAATCTAAGATGTTTATTTTTCTAATCCTCACCCATATATCTTAAGAGGCATTATTTGTATCTAATTTTTCCCATCCACAACTTTTGCTAATGCTTACAGATCCAAATAAAAAAAAAAAAAGCAAAACAAAACCCTCCCAAGGGAACTATAAAACCTGTCATGGAATTTTGCTGTAATTATAAAAAGCTCTGACATAGCTTGTACTATCTTTCTTCTTTATAACTTCTTTTATGTAGGATTTTTGCAATAGAGGCATTTTGCCTACATAATACTGTTTTTACTAATTACTTTGAATAGTCTAAACAGGATTAGTTTAACACTAATATAAGACATTTTTTAATGTACATATATAAAAGCTACTTACAATGCCAGGCGCTGGTAGCTCATGCCTGTAATCCTAGCTACTCGGGAGACTGAGATCGAGGATCATGGTTCAAAGCTAGCCCAGGCAGGAAACCCTGTGAGACTCTGATCTCCAATAAACCACTAGAAAACCAGAAGTGGTGCTGTGGCTCAAGCAGTAGAGCACTCACCTTGAGCTGAAGAGCTGAGGGATAGCACCCAAGCCCAAAGTTCAAGCCCCACGATTGACAAAAAAAAAAAAAAAAAGCTACTTACAGAACACTAAAATTATCTTGGCCTTAGTACAACTAATACACACTTTGGAAATGAATGACAGAGCCAAGTGCCAGTGGCTCATGCCTGAAATGTCAGCTACTCAGGAAGCTGAGAGCTAAAGATTGCAGTTCAAAGCCAGACTGAGCAGACTGGGAGACTCTTATCTCCAATAAACTAATCAGAAAAATCCAGAAGTGATGCTGTGGCTCAAGTGGAAGTACACTAGCCTTGAATCAAAGAAGCTCAGGTACAGAGCCCAGGTCTGGAGAATTCAAGTACCACCAGAACCAGCCAAAAAAAGAAGAAGGAGGAGGAGGAGGAGGAGGAGGAGGAGGAGGAGGAGGAGGAGGAGGAGGAGGAGGAGGAGGAGAAAGAGGAGGAGGGAAAAAGGAAGAAGAAGAAGAAGAAGAAAGAAGAAGAAGAAGAAGAAGAAGAAGAAGAAGAAGAAGAAGAAGAAGAAGAAGAAGAAGAAGAAGAAGAAGAAGAAGAGAAGGAAGAGGAGGAGGAAGAGGAGGAGGAGGAAGAGGAGGACAGGAAAGTAGAGTAGGCACTGTTGGAGAATGGATATAAGGGGAAGCTGGAAAGTGAGTGTGAATATCAAAGTATTCTATCTGCATACATGAAAATAGAACAGACAACCCATTTCAAATTGTTTTAAGAAGAAGGGAGAGGAGTTTGGCTCCCACCTGTAATCCTAGCTACTCTGGAGGCTGAGAGCTGAGACTGGCATTTGAGCCAGCTCAGGTAGAAAAGTTCATTGTGTGTCTATGTATGTGTGCGTGCGTATCACCAATACTGGAGCTTTCAACTTACGGCCTCATACTCTCTCGTCTTCTTCACTGGCATTCTACCAGTTGAGCCAAACCTCCATCTAAGACTTTTTGATAGAGATAAAAAAACATCTCTTAGAATTATCTGTTCAAGCTGGTTTCAAATTCCAATCTTCAGATTTCAATCCTAGCTACTCCTAAGAAGCTAGAAATGTGAGTACCAGCTAATATATGTATTAAAAAAAAAAGTCTAAGAAAATATTCATGTTCCCCTTTAGTAAATAGTATTCTATATAAATGACCTTAGTTACTTAACACAATGAAGCTCCAAACTAGAATTTTAAAATTGAAATGACAATACTTCATAGTGGCAAAATATAAAAATAAGCAATGACTAGTCCAGAAAAGGTTCTCTTTGACAAGCACGAACTGACATGTTTGCCCCACACACCCTCAAATGAAGCATACCAAACAGAAATGGACTATTGCTCTTACTCACTAAGTCTGTTCTGCAACTACAAAAGGAAGCTAAGGAAATAGCCAAAAGCAAGATAAGAAGTCAGGGCATAACAATTTAAATGTATGGCATTTATCCAGACTCATGTTTGTAACAAAAAAAAAGAATATCCTGCCAAGAATCATATTGACTAACTCAATAGGCACTTGGTGATCCTCATGAAGAAGTGTATTGCCAAAGGCCTTTCTTTACTAGTCCTCATCTCTTGTTCTGGTACAAAGTTAAAATTACATCAAATGTTAAGAATTATCTTAGTCACACTTTCTATCTTTGTGCAACATATAAAAACTAACAAGGTAGTGCCTTGGCCCTTATTCATGTCACACTTACAGATGTGAAAAGTTCTAGCTAATTTTACTGTTTAGAAGTTGTCTTGTTCCCACTACAATCTTCAAGGGGATTTGGAATATTTTTTTTGAAAGAAAGCATACAGACTTCAAACCAACCAGACTAGCCTAGCAATGGGGGGCTCATGCTTGAAATCCTAGCTACTCAGGAGGCTGAGATCTAAAAATTGCAGTTCTAAGCCAGACTGGGCAGGAAAGTCCATGAGACTCTTCTCTCAATTACCCATCAAAATAAGCTGGAAGTGGAGCTGTGGTTCAAGCGGTAAAGCGTTAGGTTTGAGCAAAAAACAAAACAAAAAACAGGGCCAGTGCCTAGGCTCTGAGTTCAAGCTCCAGTACCCCCCTGCTCCCCCCTCCAAAAAAAAAAAAATACCAGACTAAAGGTAACAGTCAAACTCAAAAGAGGACATGTTTGCTTTCACACATACAACTGCTGCTTGACATAACAGTAAGTACATTCTATTTAGTAAGTGTCTGGCAAAAACAAAAAACAAAAGAACTCAAAAATAGTGCCCAGGCCAAGTTTAAGCCCCACAAACAAACAGCGCACGCCCGCGCGCGCGCGCGCGCACACACACACACACACACACACACACACACGCTCTCTCTCTCTCTTAAAAAAAAGGTAGGCCACGGCCGAGGTCTTCACCTGCATGATGAACCACTGACTGGCTAACCCTTATCTCATCCAGGACAAAGAGTTGTTCAAATGATACCACTCCGCTCTGAAAAGGAAACATTAGCATCTGCAGGACTAGTTAAAGCGGCCCATCTCAAACATAACCTTTAGTGCCAGGGCAGGGATATTTATGACGCACAAAATAGAACTACAAAAGTTAGATTCAGTTTTATCTTGAATTTATTGGAAGCCAATTGCCCACTGGCAGTTACATAATTCCAGTGATTCAGGAAGGTTATAACCATGATGATCCTGGCTTACTGAGAGATCAGCTTTCCTGCAAAGAGCTCAGAAAGATGAAGGAAGCCACTTTCAGAGTAAAAGAGATAACAAGAGATGGGCTGGGAAGGTGGCTCAGTGGTAGAGCGCTTGCCTTGCATGCATGAGGCCGCCCTGGGTTCGATTCCTCAGCACCACATAAGCAAAAAGAAAAAAGCCGGAAGTAGCGCTGTGGCTCAAGTGGTAGAGTGCTAGTCTTGAGCTGAAGAGCTGAGGGACAGCGCCCAGGCCCAGAGTTCAGGCCCCACGACCGGACCCTCCGCTCCCCCCCAAAAAAAAGATGACAAGAGGTTTTTCTGGAAAGCTGTCACGTTTGAGAAGAAACTGCAAAGTATATGAGAAGTCCTTCACTGAAGGCTACCTGGTTAAGTTTACTTTAGAAAACCAGGATAGAGTGATGTATGGGATCCCTGAGAAAGAACCACAGGCATTCTACTCAGGGTGGGGAAGAAAAAACAAGGGCTCTACCCCAAGG